TTTGACGGTATTGTGTTACATAAAAATATTCACAGTTACATACTAACAATTTTCTCATTGTTGAGCATAAAAAAATGGTAATTAGGGTTTTCGAGAATGGGCCTACCAAATTAGGTTAAGAGTTTTATTCAAGTTTAATGGGCTTTCAAAAGTTCGAATATAGATGTTTTTAAGGAAGAAATTACCTTGGGAAAGAGCAGATTAGGTGAAGAAGCTCCATCGGGAGAAGGCAAGTCGGGTCCGATCAGGTCGGGTACGGAGTTCAAGAGTAACAAGGTCTGGTGCAAAGGTCGGGTACGATCAGGTCGGATACGGAGTTCAGGAGTAATAAGGTCTGGTGCAAAGGTCGGGTATGATCAGGACGGGTACGGAGTTCAGGAGTAACGAGGTCGGGTGTAGGAATGAGACGGAGGCGAGACGGTATGAGGTCGGACCTGGTCGGGCCAAGCTTAAAGGTCGGAGAAAAGATCAGACTTGGTCGGGCCAAGTTTAAAGGTCGGACAATGAGGTTGGACTTGGTCGGGCTAAGCTTAAAGGTCGGGCGTAATAAAGTCGGACACGGAGGTAAGACGGTATGAGGTCGGGACTGAAGGTCGGGTGCGATAAGGTCGGACAATGAGGTCGAACCTAGTTGGGCTAAGCTTAAAGGTCGGGCGCAATCAGGCCGAATTCAAAAGTCGAGTATGGTAAGGTCTGGTATGGAGATGAGGCAGGATAAGGTCGGGCGTAATGAGGCCGAGCAGTGAAGTAGCTAATGTGCAGGTCGGGTGAGAGAGCGGTTTCTGATAATGGAGGGAAGTTTCAACTGGGGAACGGTTTTTGAAGGTTTGACTTGGTGGGTCGGTTGACATACGTGTCAATAGAAGAGAACTTTTGGGGCGGTTGACAGCGGTTATTGTAACCGACTAGATATCGGTTCGAACTGTTTCTTTAAGGGATTTTAAATAAGGTTGTTCTTGACCTAAGAAACCATCTTCAATCGACATCAAATTCAAGATAATTGCTTTTGGGGATCACCACTTTATTTTTCAGTTTTGTATTTTATTTTCCTATTTTATTTATGTATCTACAGTGTTTAGAAATTTCTAATGTCATACACTAATTATATCAAATTCAAAGATATTTTTTATTTTTGAATTTTATTTTTTATTGTTGAAAAAATACATCAACACTCGTTAAATAAAAATACACTTGTACTTTACAAATGCGCGGAAAACATACTTGTACTTTACAAATGCGCCGAAAATGGCATGAGATCCTCCGCTCCTCCTTTCTCAACCGGTCCACACCTTTCACAACAAAATGATATATGTATATATATATATATATTTAAATATCACGTATGCATACATAATATATCATATGGGATCCATAATTAGGGGTGGGGACGGTTCGGTTATTTGTAAATATGTAGGTATTTGATAACCGAACCAAATTGAACAAATACCCGAAATCGCGAACCGTATTTGAACCGAAAATTTCGGTTAATCGAATTTTCGGTTAACCGAAAATATTTGTAGTATTTGCAAATAATTCGAACCGAATCAAAATTAAGAAAAAATATATAAAAAAAATTAAAATTCTAATTAAATAAAAAATATTTGCAAATATTTCAAATATCTGAACCGAAACTGAACCGTATATAATTATTAATATAAATTTTAAAATATAATAATATAAATACATAAATATATTCGGTTCGGTTAACCGAACGGAAAAAAATATGAAAAATCGAAACCGAACCGAACCGAACCAAACAAATATCAAATATGCAGTATTTGTATTCGAACCGAATTTGTTCGGTTAACCGAAAATTCGATTCGATTCAGTTCGGTTCAACGGTTCGACGATTCGGTTCGATTTTTTTGCCCACTCTTATCCATAACATATATACACATTATGTGTGCGGGGATAAATAGATAGAGTCTATTAATGAGATAGATGATCCGATTTGATAATATATTGGGTATATATATATACAATCGATCCCAATCTTACACTACAATTTATCGTATTCTTCTTTAAAATTAATTTACATTTTTTATTATTACCAACTTATCCAATAATTTTCTAAGATATCACCGAATCTCATTTCCCTACTTTACATGAGACAAAAATCAATGGAAGCGGTTATGATACTCATAAAAGCACCGAGGACTTGCACAGCCAGATTCGTAATCCAAAATGCCACGAAGGTGTAGATCTCGTTGGCTCTCGGGGTCCCGGGATCTCTCAATTACTTCACCAACACAAAGAAGCGGAATGAATTGATCACATTTTCTATAGATTTGTTAGGATGTTAAATACGAGTAAAGGTAATTAGTCAACAATTAAAAAATCTATTACTAAAAATAATTATAATTTAATAAATAGTTTACTTAAAATACCAAAGTTTATGAATTATAAATTTTAAAATTTGATTAAAATATATAATTATATTTAAAAAAATAAATAAATTTTGTGAGAGAGATGAAAATAAAAATAGTAAACAAATTAAATTGGATGAGAGAGTATTTCAGTTAACAATGTGTTATTTTGATGTTTTCTAGCAAATAAAAATGATATGAATATTATTTTTTATATAATGCAAATAAATAAAAATGTATTTATTTATTTATAATAAAATTAAAATTAATTTTATAAAAATGAGAAGTTTTAAATATACATAAAAAATATTTATTTATTAAAAAGAGATAAAAAAAAAAAAAAAAAAGTCTAAATGGCCTTTTGTGTAACAAGTTAAAATTTAATTTAATTTAATTTATATTTGTTAAGTATTTTTAAGATGAATAAATTTGCTAAAAATATAAAAAGATTGTCTTTTATGTAATGAACAAAAAGAAAATAGGTTATCTGTAACAAAATAGTAACTAGTATTTTATTAATTAATGTAAAAAAATTTGACAATAAAAATAGATCATCTGTAATAAAACATTAACTAGTATTTTATTAATTAATGTAAAATATTTGATATTTTTTATTGTTACCGTAAGATTGTAAAAAAATAATTATAATAATAAAAAAGATAATATTAATGTATAATTATTTTTATTAAATAAAAAAATTATATTTTCATTAACATATGTGTTCAAAGTATCTATTCTTCTTCAAAAGTAAGAAAACGTATCAAAGTGTGATCCCCGCCGATAAGAAGGAATCCGGCGACAGTGAATCGATGACGTCGGCAGAAAGAGATTCGCTCGAGCTTGGCGTTTAAATTAATCCATCCACACTGCACCGCCGATCAATTTCAGTCTAATCGAATTCGATCCATCAATGGCGATCAGAGAAAACAAGGCTCGCAGCGTCGCCGCCGCCGGAAAAGACCAGATAAGCTCCGACGACTTCAAGAGGTGGCTGATGAGCTTCGATTCCGACAAGGATGGGCGGATCAGCCATTCGGAGCTCCGGCAAGCCATTCGGAGCCGCGGCGTGTGGTTCACCGGCTGGAAGTCCGGCCGCGGGATGAAGGACGCCGACGCCGACGGCAGCGGTTACATCGACGAGGACGAGATCGAACACCTCATCGACTTCGCGGAGAAGACGCTGGGATTCAGGTTCCTTGAATGAATGAATTAATGAAAAATGCGCTTTTAGAAAAGCGTGCTTTTGTTAATAAAGTCGTGCTTTCGGACTGCGCTGATATTTAATATTCAAATATATATATTTAGGTATGTTAATTTAGATGGCGCTGGAAGGATTATTACTTGTGTTTGCAGCTGTAGCTAAGTATGGATTAAATAAAGGCTGTATTGTTTAGTGTTAAATTTTGTGAAATATTTATTTTAGTTACGGAACAATGAAAATTTTTAGAAAAATATAATATTATCGGGGTGAGTTACTTTTTAATTTTCTTAAAAAATACTTCATTCGTTCTAGGCGAATGAATGTAATTTTTTGGAATTTTATAGTAAATTAAAAATAATACTCTTTCTGTCCTATATTTATAAATTTATTTATTTATTTTATGAAATTTTAGAAATATTAATATTAAATTGGAATATAGTAGAAATAAATGTAAAAAAATTAAATTAACTTTATTAGTATTAATATTGTATGAAATAAATGTAATAATATTTGCGTAAGTATATTGTAATTGAAAATATATTTGTAATGTTAGGTAAATAGTATAATTACTGATTAAAAAAATTAATATTTTGTTATAGGATATATTAAAATAAAAAAATATATAAATTGTTAAGTAACGAAGGAAGGAAGTAATATTTTTGTTGAGTATAAAATTTAAAAATTAGAATTTTTGTCCAAAAGAAAGAATGGAGTGTGGACCTTGTAATGGGCTAGGCGGAATCTCGAAATGAATTTGAGTTGGGTTGTCCAGGCGGACCCAACAAGTCATTGGAGTTGGGTCGGTCTGTTCATCAGTTGAAGAGCCCATCTGAATGTGAGTATTGAGTCGGTCAGTTATTAAGAAACCGATTTGAACTATCAAGTTGGTCGTTTTTGGCTCTGTGTTGGTAGGAGATTGGCAAAGGGTAAGGGTAACTGACTGAGAGGTGGTTTCAGACGGTCATGTTGAAAAGGAATTTGCGGAGGATAATTGATAACGATTCAATGCACGATTTTGGTAATCAATTGAGATTACCAAAAAAACGGCAATTGTTTATTTTGGGGTATAAATTTTGAGTTTTTGATTTACATAAAAAAAAAAATATATATTTAAATTTAAATATTAATTTGATGTGATATATATAAAAATTAATAATATTTTTAATATAAAATTAATTTTTAATGTAATATAAAATATAAAAAATAAATATTTAATTTAATGTTTCGAAAGAAAAAAATTTATGAATAGTTTAAACTAAATAAAGTTAGCCAAACAAATATATATAATTTATATATTTAGACAAAATTGCTCCTAATTATTCTTTAAAAAAAATACTATACAAAAAAAAAAAAAAAACCCTTTTTAGAGATCTCCGTACAATATTTTCAAAAGTACAAAAAAATCTCCAGCAATATTTAGAGAATTCTGTATAATATTTTATAAAATACAAAAATCAATACAATTTCTCAATCATAAAAAAAATAAAAATAAAAAAATAAATAGTGCAACTTTTCGAACAACAAACCAGTGAATTATATATAATTTTGCCATATATATATATATATATAATATCTTTGAACTCGAGAAAATTGACCCCTAACCATAAATTTTACCAACACTTGAAATCCATATAACGTAAACACAGAAAAGCTGTAAAAAACAAAAAAGCTTCAAATTTTTACCTACCATGGAGCCTTAGCTTCTTCTCTAAACGAGAACTCGCAACAATCGGCATTCGTCCTCAGCTCCTCTTCCTCCTCGTAACATTTCACCCAAAGCTCCTTCAGCTCGACGAGTTTTGTCTCGAGACGTCGAATCTCGATTTCGGTTCGATCAAAACCCATCTGAGCATCCCGAAATCTCTTCGTCTCCGACGCCCCCTCCGACTCGAACGCCATCGTCGCCAGCCTCCGCAGCCGAGCCCGTAAAAATCCCACATTCAGACCCAAAAGCTCGAACGATTTGAGCGATTTCTCCCATGCGTCGAATTCCTTCTTCGAAGTGTTTATCTTACACCCTCGAATCGCGTCGGCAATGGTCACGGCTTCGACAATCATACCCGCAGCTAATTTACGGTAGAGACCTGGAAGGATCCGATCGTGAAGAATCGAGTTCTTGCTGCAACACAGATTGTAATATTTTCGGCGGATCGGTTCGGGTATTTCCGCGTCGATGCATGACCCGTTGACGATGATTTGGAATTCGTCAAAGCTTCGGACGTCTTTGAAACTGAAAGAATTTCGGGAGATTTTCGAGCCTTCTAACACCTCGGACGCTACCTCGTCGCTGTCGTTTCCGGATTGCTCCTCCGGAAATAATCGATCTTGGTTGTGTTTCTTCTTCTGCAGAACTGTTAAGGGAAGAGATTTAGGATGTCGATTTTTTCTGACCCGCGCATCCGTAGCTCTCCCTGCGGAATAGCAAAAGCCAATCGAGTTTACGAACCGAATTTTGGAGAAATGTTCGATGATGAAGTTAAGGACGAAGCTAACCTGCATCGGGCTTCGTTTGAGAATCCAAAATTAGTAGGCTAAGAGCACCGTCGACCTCAGTCAGATCATTCGCCCTTACGATTAATATCTACAACAGAACGAGAGCGCAAAAGTAATGCAAGGCATTTTTTCGAAAAAATTCAAACAAACACAAACATAACCCACTGCTAGGGGTGAGCATTCCGTCGGTTCGGTTCGAACCGATTGTTTTGAAATTTTTATAATGACGCTCGAATTCATTCGTTCAATTTATTTTTCATCGTCAATGCAGATTCCTCAATCCACAATTACATGTTTCAAGCAACTTACAAATGGATCAACTACTGAAATATAAATATTTAAAGATCAAAATTATAATATATATAAAATATAAAATCTATTTTATTTAAAATTTGGTTTTTTCGGTTTGAAAATTGAAAACCATAACCGAACCGAAATTCAAATTTATAAATTCGGTTTTAGATCAAACTGAACCAATTGACCGAACAGACTAAACCGATTTGTCCGAACCGAAATTTTTTTTGATTTTTTCGATTTGGACCAACTAATGCTCACCCCTACACGCTGCATCGAGCCGTACCTTAAATTTGCAAGGCCCGACTAGTTGGAAAACCAAAACATCTCCTTCGAGTAGTTTGTTCCCGGCAACAAACTTTCTCCATCCTGCGCTTAATCCCGTCTTATGCGCGATGTACTTAATGGAGAACTCTTCACCGTTTTCATTTTCGAGCGTCACTGTGCTGTCCCTGGTCGGCAAATACAGCTTGCAGAACGGGACGGGAAGACCCTGCAGACGAACGGCCGTTACATCAATGGCTAAGAACCGACGAACAGTTAAAAGATTATACATTCCTCTTGAATAGAGAGCATTACCATCCAGAAACAGCTTGCGACGTGTGATCTGACTAAGGGTTTCAGAAAGCTAGGATGTTCGTCGCCTAGATTCGCTTGAACTTCCTCGGCCCGAATCACAATGGGAGATTTCAACGGAACAGGATTGCCCGAATTGCCGAAAGCTCCATCTCCAAAACTGTATCGAACATTCAGTGGTAAATGTGTGCATACAAATGCTTATTACAACAAATTCGAGTAGGTTTTTGCACCGGACATACCTTGTCGATGTTCTTCCACTGGCATAGATCCCCTGTTCGACAAAAAATTTCACCTACGTTAAATACGGATAGATATCCTTTAACAGCAGCTTCGAATATCAATTACGAACAGTCTACGGCTCCGTTTTGATTTGAGTTTGATGACCATATCAAAGTAAAGCAGTTTTTTCGAAGATTTGCAGAAGAAACAACGAAACTATGAACCAGCATTGCAATGGCCATTTCCATTGATCGATTCATCTATGTTAATGCTCATTTCTAATTTCAAACAGATAATCTGCATTGGGACAACTTCGATCATGGAAACTTTCGAATCTAACTAATTAGAAATTATTGGACACAAAATGCAATGCAAGAACCGAACATGAAACCCTAACACAGAATATTCGGGAGAAGAACCACCTGAAAGAACAGCAATGCAGAACTGAAAATGGAAGAAACTGTTAAGTTAAGACAATCCTTACATGCTTATGTTTGGAAACAGAGGATTTCTTCTTCTTCCGAAAAATTGGGGAAATTTCATCGACGATTTCTTTGGGCTTCCTCTGCCTTTTGCCCTAAAACACACAACGAAAGCAGATCTGATGTAAATACAGCAAATCCATAAGCACAATCATGTAATCGACGGAATTGATTAGCAAAACTCGTACAGAAACAAGCGTCGGATCAAATGCAGAAATGGGGGAAGGATCCAACGGCGTAGAATTCTCCTTCACGAACTCATGATCCTCCGGCGAGACGCTGACCGGAGGCTGCTGCTGCTTCTGCTGTTCGTCTTCCTCCATTTGATTTCGATCCATCTCCAGTATTTCCTTCTTCATCTCAAGCTCCTCGCCTCCGCGATTCTCCGGATTCTGATGCACGATTTTCAACTTCATCTCTTCCAATCTTTCCCCAAACAAAAAATTAGATTCCTCTGGTTCCAGCACGCAAAATTCCCTGAACTCGCCGTAGAGCAAACGCAGAAACTAATTAAGTTGAAATTAGAGCCTAGAGAATCGGATTAAGCAGATTCGGCGTGAACAACAACAAAACTCATGGTCGTTTCGCATCGCAATTGCGGAAAACAGTGAAACTGTGAAAGGATCGAGGGAAGGAATGGATGTTCCCCAATGGCAAAGCGCGCGGGCCCAGCGCTTCGACCATCTTTATTGCTGCCGAGTTTAAATGGTTGGATCAGCCTACGCACCAACCAGCATTGGCCACCAGTCGCTAACCCGCGGAAAATCTTCAGAATTTCTTCAGTCGAAGATTACTGCACAAAAATAAAGCCCTAATTTCACCAACACTATTATAAGCAATTTCCATGGAAATATCACAGTAGCTGAAGGATCGATTCACTACAGGCATCATTAATAAACTCCATTTAGAAAGTATTCGCGATTCTTCACCTTCCTAGACAGGCTTTCTGCATTTTCCGATTTGGAGCGGTTTCTGTTGCCTGGCCTGGTGGATCTGATCAAGTCCAGGAGCTGAGGAAATCGATTGAGCTGATGAACAGACTCTATTCTTCTCTGCTTTGGGTCCGATTCGATTTCAGTTTATACGACATTCGAAGATTCAAAGCGTGGAGCTCTCACTGGCCGGGATGAGTGTGGGCGACAAAACAACGGCTCGTTATAGGAAGAACTCCATGGCCATGATCAGCGATCTGCTCCAGGCCTGGTTTGAACCCAACCTATTCTTTGTTGAAATAATATTTTGGCAAAAATACCAAAATGTATCTCACTATAAAAAAATTTATAGATTTCAATTTTATTATAAATAATTTTAATTAAATTTTGGTTCTAAAGTTAAAAAATCTAACAAAATTTTGTGTTTCTTATTATTTAAATCCAAATTTCAAACAAAATAGTTTAGTTTTTTTTATTAGATTTAAATAATGATAAAATAAAATAAAATTATAGATGAAATCACAAAGTACCGTGACAATGTAAAATAAAATACGGCCATGTTTTATTATACACGATTGTGCTTTATTGTACCCGATTGTGTTTTACTTTACCCAGTGTTTTTTTTTTTTTATATCTCTTGCCATATTGATTTAATTTTTTTTATATGAGACTAAAATTGATAATTTTTATTTTATTTTATTTTATTTTATTTTATGTTTGAACCAAAATTAATATATTTTGATGTATTGAGACTAATATTAAATTTTCCTAATATTTTATATGATAGAAATATTTTTTAAAAAACAAACATGGTTACATCTAACATATACATGATGCACATAGGATACCGAAAAAATTTCTTCTTTTACCATACCATTCGTATAGCATAAGAATGTACAATTGATATCATCTAGCATAATTTGATAGTCATATTAATATAAAAAAAATAAATAAAATAATAATCAAATATTGAATATAAATTCAAATTGCATATGAGAATGATATCTCTATTATATGATTCTAAAGATCCACCGTATCTATTTTGGGGTGCATTTGCTATATAAGGTTACGGTGGATAATACTATTTTATCCGACCTAATCACATATTTACTTTAATATATTAGAACTCTATATAATAAAGATCTGTTACAATTATACTAATTTATAAGATTATTAATATAATTTAACCCCCAGTATTATTCAATTCTATTTATTAAATTATCGAAATTACCATTCTCTTTAAACACTTATAAATATTTTATATAAATATAATAACAATCTTTTGTTTAATACATTTTGATTTTATTTGAAATTTAAATTATATATAATATTATTAAATTTTTAATCGATAATATAAAGTTATAAGAATACTATATATGTTACTAAAACTTAATTTATAATTTTGAAGACAAAATTAAATATATTCAATAAATAATAAAAATATATCGAATTATATATACACATATTATGTTATGACAATAATTCAATTAATTTTAATATTTTTATACATTATATTGCTATAATTAGAAAGAAAAATATATAAAATAAACTATATTATAATAATTTATACTAACATTATTAAGGATGTTTTGGGTAAGAAAAAATATCATACCATACAATCAAACAAAATAAACATATAAATTTATCTAATAAACGTTATATTAATTAGTATATTAATTATATATTCTATTGAAATAATTTAGTTATTATAATATAATTTTTTAAAGTAAACGCATCATTAAGCTATACATCATATATAGGAATATTTGCGGAAAAAATAACAATTGTCTCATCTAATATAGTCTGTCATTTAATTCTGATGAGTATAACAAGTATACATCATGCAAAAAGAAACACAACAAGTTTAGTCGTTAATATACCATTCACATATTATATATATATTTGTGATAAACACCGTACACCCTGTAAGAATATAAGATATGAATCTGACAACAATATTAATATAAATTGACTTACGCATAGAAATGGTAGTTTCATCTACCAAAAAACCAATGTGGATAGTTTTTTCATCAAATATCTAATATAAATCACTTGCATTCGACATCTCAATAATTTATTAACTTTAAAATTAGATCTACACACATAGGCATCGGATTAACAAAAAAGAAACCCCTAAATCATGTTCCCCTAATGAAATTCCTTAAGGAGTCGCCGCTAAGCTAAAATAGTTTGTTGTTATTGAAATCAGCAACCTTCCCGTGGACACACGAGACTTGTATGTACTTTGTTTTATTTGATTTGGTCTTCACCGGGAGCTTTGAAACTAGATTCTTTGTTTTGACCATTGACGGTGGCGGCAGCTGTGTGGTCGACGGCAGGATTGGAACGACTGCGGCGGGATGACTTAGAATCACAAATGAGGGTTTCCGGTCCGACGGGATTAGTGCTCGGGTTATTTTGGTGGACGATGGGAGCCGAACGGCGGCGGCGATGTGTAGTCGACAGCGGGAGAGGAAGACGGCGGCAACATGGCTGGAAGATTCGCGACAAGGATGATTTCTCACAGGGGTTAGGGGCTGGGTGAATTTTTGGGGAGTGGAGGATTAGTTTATCTAGTAAATATTTATGTATTGTTAATTATGGAAAAAAAATATTTAAGGAATATTCTAAAATTAATGCATAAAAAGATCAGTGCAAGATTATGATGTTGATGTCCAAAAGTAATTATGTTGATTGAAGTTAAATTTGATTCGCGAGTAAGTTTAAAATTTATAAAAATACAGAAATCAAACTTAATCAATATAATGAATATTTCACTCGTTGAAAATATTGCATTATATTGCAAATTTGTGAACATCAAAATAAGATAGTACATATTACATTTATTTTACCTTAGACATCATGTCAGTGATACTGTGACAACATATATGTACATCATTATATTTTTCGAATATTTTTTATTTGGAAAGAACTTAATTGCATATGCTTCTGACTTATGTAGGTTAATATTTCCAATTATAATGTAACTAGTTAATGTATTTACCTTTTTTTTTTTTTAATTAATTGACATTTAATTAATTCTTTTCAAAACTCCTCAAGTATCCTCAATAAATAACTATTGGGTCGAGGTAATTTTAATCAAAAGAATACAATGGGTTCATAATGGTTATGAATCGAAAGAATACAATGGGTTCATAATGGTTATGAATCTTACATAAGGTCAGAAAAATACCAGCTATCATATCAAAACCTTCTTTAATTTTATTCTAACTTCAACTTGTTTGGTTTTTTTATTTTTGATTTGAATTATTTTTTAAATAATATTTTAATTTAATACTTTTATTTTGTAAGACTAAATATTGTTTTTTTATTTATTCATATCATATCAAAATACAAGAGTGTTTATTTTTAATTTGAAATAAAAATATTCAACTATTTATCCTATATAATTTTTAATAAAAAATATACTCTCCATCCCTGTATAAAGGGCTAAATTTACTTTTTACTTGTTGAACCAAAACTCAAAGCACTACGTCTCGTAGGAATAAAATGATGGTGTAAAAATCCCGTAAGGGATGACCCAGTGGTGTAGGGGTTGGATTTGTGATCGTGAGGTTACGGGTTCAAACCTCCGACGCTTCAGGTCACCTGCCACACATGATTCGCCTAGCGTGACTTTTTTGTCGGATCTGGTTTGCAGGGTATTAGGTTCGGCCGGAGATTTACCCAGTGCGCACTTTCGGATAGCGACTGCGGATTCCAAGTCATCATGATCGTGTAAAAATGGACTCGTTACTATGAAGTCATAGGCTTAAACCCCAACCGTCTACAGCCCATCCACTACACATATGTGCGGTACTCAAATTTGAAATCAAAGTCGAACAAACTAACTTTAGGACACTTACAAACATATTTAATTGCAATCTATTTCTTATTCAGAATATTATACTCAATATTTAGTTCAATTTAAAAATAAATACTACTCCCTCCATATCGGCTATAATAAAAATAATTAATTAATCAAATTAAAATTAAAAAATTTTAAATAAAATTAAAGTGTAGTTATTTTCGAAAAATAAAAATGAGATAATAAGTAGATAGATTGAAATGAAAATATGAAATTAATAAATAGGACAGATGCACTACTACCTATAAGAGTAATTTAAAATATTTTAAAAATTAAAATAATTTCAAAACATATGAAAAAAATTAAACGAGGAGAGTAGATATGATAGGGTGAAGCTAGCTTTTCATTGAATTGCTACAATATATATATATATATATATGCAGGAAGCAGTAACTAAGCAAAATGGGAAGAGCAATTATATTACAGGGGCGACTCGATCACTGTACATCTTAGTTGTTAACACATACATGCAAGAAATCCAACCTAACTAAGAAGCAAAAAGAGTGCAGATTAATTAATTGGAATCATCTAGAATTGCATGTGGAAACAGAACTGACCTTTTACTGTTGAACCAATCATCTCCTTCCTTAAGCTTAATTTCATGGTTTTACTTGAATTTCAACCCAATCGTAGGCTCCTCCGTCCATGGGTTTGTCCTCAACTATATCATAGTTATACCTACATTCATTCATACATACATTCTGCATTAATTCAGATTATATATATATACACACACACAGAGAGAGAATTACGTACTTGTTAACGAATTGTTCCTGAAGGTTCTTCTCGGCTGCAGCGAAGAAATTTTCAAGCTCAGCTTCCGATGGCGTTTTCTGAAATCGTCGGCGGTTAGTAGATCCGATAGCTTTAGTTCTCGACGGCGTTGTTTCTCTTCAGAGAAAAAACACAAGAACGCGTCAAATTATGCTTTGTGTAAGAGTAAAAATTTCTCACAGTACAGCGCTCGTCGTGTTTTCCATAGGAGCGAAAAGAAAATGCGTCTGGTTTGAAAATTTTAGCAGAAAAAAACATCAGAAACAAAACGTGGAGCTGTTGAGGATGATTCCATGCTAGAGATTCAAGTTCGAGAGAAAGAGATTAGACTCTCGTTGGAGGAGAACAATCACAGATAATTCAACAGTGTTTATGATATATCGTACCTATCTCTGCAATTCATCAAATCGACTACGGACGATACGAACTCGAGATTCGACTCATCATCATCACTCTCCTGAAGACAAACATTAATAATTCAAATCTTCTCAGACACAACAAAAATCAAGTAGCGTGATCGCAATATAAAAATTCAAAATCATTATACCTCCAGATCTACGAAATTGGAGCTTCCTTCGATCAAGTCACTCCGTTCATCACTCGAGCAACAAGATGCCACAACCGAACCAACGCTCTCGCACGTTAAATTTCCAGAACTTTCCGGAGACTCACCAGGCTTCTGCGGCGTCGCCGCCGTGCCTAACCGCCGTGATTTGAATGATATAGCCAACGACGAATCTTCTATCTCAACTTTTCTCTTCCTCCCCGCCTCCCCCAACTTCTTCCACTTCCTCATGCTAAAACCTTCCGCGATCTCCTCCAACACCAAAAAACCTTCTCAGAGCTCGAATCAATTCCCCGATTCTTTATACTCCTGCGGTATTAGGTATGCGCGTACGAGGCGGAATGTGGCAGGATAATCTGCTTTTCTGCTGCACTTTTTCTGATTCAAAAGGTTTTTACACAGAGAGAGAAAATGAATGAATGAGTGGTGTGATGATAGCGGTGATGATGATAACGACGTTTATGGGCACAGAATTAATTCCGTTAAATCTGCGGTTCATTTCGCCATTTCCGTTTACTTAACAGTGACGGAACTCTAGAATCTTCTGTCACGCAGATCTACCAACGCAGTAGATTTCCTTCAGTGGCTTTCACGGAAATTTGTGCTGCCCAATCAAATTCCGACACGTGTAACTATTTGGTTGGTGGAAAATCGTATAATTTAAAAACAAATTTCATTTAATTAAATTTTTTCCTGCAATGCCTTTGAAATAAATTTAAATAGCAGTAACTATTTTACTACTTTAATTTTAAATTTTTGCATACATTTGTAATAAGTGAAACATTTTTGGACATATATGTGTAATAAATTTATTTAGTGTGAAAAATATTGATATCTAGAAAGGAACGACAAAGCAAAACTAAAGCCGACCTTTTCCTTTACTCGTGTATATATTTAGTTACATTTTTTTTTTCTGTATTTTTCCCGCTCTTTGCAATTTAACCTAAAAACGTACATTTCTTAAAAACACGCTTTTAAGGCAACTGGGGAGGCGCACCATGGATCAATTGTGTACTGACACGGTTTTTTTAAAAATATTAATAAAAAAATATAATATATACAAAAAATTCATCAATATAAATGTTATATGACAATTCACAATTCATACAAAATATTATTTTTTATATTATGACATAATTTTTTATACTTTATATATAGAAAAATAACTACCACAGACTAAAATGCTAAACAAACAACCTATTTAGATTGAACTCGGGAGTTCTTTAAATTAGTATTATTGTGATATTTTGTAATATCTATATATATATATGTATTTTTCAAAAAGAAAAAAATGTAAAAGAAAGTCTATCAAAATTATAGTATTATATATTCTCTCCTTATAAATAAAATGACATACTCCCTTCGTCCCAATACAATAGTCTTGTTTACCATTTTTGTCCGTCCCAAAACAATAGTCTCATTTTCATAAATAACCTTATCACCATAAAACTATCTCTACCTTTTCATTATTATTACACAATTGTCACTACTTTTTACACTAATATACTCACAAGGGTAAAAAAGTCATTTATCCTTATTTTTTTATCAATGCCCAACACAATAAGACTATACTTTTTGGGACGGAGATTTTTTATTTTTTAAATAGTAAACAAATTGATATTTGATATGTAATATATATATATATGATATAATATCAAAATTAATTATTATAAATAGATAGTATAAAAATTCCAAAAAATATATATAAACAAATATAGCCTAAACCTTTCAAAACTATAATGGTATCCACAAATAAAGCCAATTTACTATGCCGTTTTCTTCGGTTCTATATAAAACAACATCATTATTAATAGGTGAAAAGAAAAACAGAATAGAATAATAAATTTATAATTAAAAAAATAATTTAATATAATTATAAAAAATATTTTCTATATAAAAAAAAATAAATAAATAAAAACTGGGTGCAACTATCATGGAGATTCAAATTAAAGGAAAGAAACCAAAACAAGAATGAAATGGAAATCAATAAAGTGCAGACAGATTCCTTAATCCGTAGACCCAATTGGGCACAGAATCATAGACGATTTTTAATACAGTATATATATATATATATATTTCTGTGCATTTCCCAATTATTGCAAAATTATGACTATGTGGTAAGGAAATATAGATATATTCTACTCGGCAAAAGACATCGTTATATATATATCTTTCGTCTCTGAGGTCACATTTATGTTTTGCGTCATTATATTAACATTAAAAATATATTTATATTTGTATAATTTTTTGTACAATTTTTCTTCAAATAATATTATAAGATATTAATGAAAATATTTTTGCAATTTTTTTTAATTTATATTATGTTTTGATATAATAATTAATATGAAAATATCAACAAGCAAAAATATAATACTCTTTGTATATGCTTAATTGAATTTCTATCAATTCTTGCACAATATAATACTCTTTGTATTCCAAATAAAATATTCATATTTTTTTATTTTTATCTGTCTCAGCTAATTTTATTTTATTTTTTTTAAAAAATATAATTTTATACTTCAATCACATCTTAAATTTTATAATTTATATTTTTTTAATTCTAATTAAATGATTTAATTTTTTTTAACTTAATCTATAATTATTTTTATTATAATATAACTAATATATTTTTTAATTACTGATTAATTATATTTTACTTAAAAATCTCGTATTTACAATAATGCGGACATATTATATGAAAGAGAGAGTATAAAATACTCCCTCAATCTCGTGTAATATGAGTGTATTACTGTAGATACGAGAATTTAGATAAAGTATAATTAGTAAATAATTAAGAAATATATTAGTAAAAATAATTATTATTTAGTAAAAGTAATTATAGATTAAGATTAAAATAACTAAATAGTTTAATTAAAATTAAAAAAAAATTTAAAATCTTAAAATATGATTAATTTTTCAAAAAAGGAAAAGACAAATTATGTGGCACGGACGAAAATAAAAAATAGGGACAAATTATGTGGGACGGAGGGAGTAATTATATTTAAAACATTATTGTATAATTTATATTTCTTTTATTTAATAATATTTCAAGTTAAATAAATGAAAAAAAAAAAAAAAAAAAAAGGGTGCATGATAAAACATACATACAAGGAGGGTCAAAAGGGGCCCCAAAAGATGATCTTTTATTGTCTTTTCATGGCATTCATCGAAGTCATCAATTTTTTTCGATATTTGTGATATATATGGAAATGTATATATATATATATATATTTAAGAGTTGATAAAATAAATTCAATTCAATACAATCTAAAATATGGTTTTGATTGTTTTTAATTTTAAACATAAATCATTATTATTATTTAGTTTTTTAATTTTTAATAAAGCTATATTAGTTTATTTAATAAAATACTATTTTAAATTTAATTTTAGATTCAAATCAAAATCAAAGTATAATTAGTATTGATTCATAAATCCAAATTGTCCTATTTAATTAATTTAAAGCATCCACTTTTCTTTTTCATAAATCTGTATTTTTGGGTGCTTTTTCACCTCAATTTACATTAAAGATTTGGGATCCGAAGATAATTTAAATACAACTGTTATTATTTATTTATAACAACATATACTTCTCCGTCCTTTAACAATCTATCTATTTTTCCATTTTGGTTTGTTCCATAATAAAGTATTCATTTACAAATATCCTTCCAATTTACAATATATTACACAAATATCATTACTTTTATATCATACAATACTAATAGGGTTAATTTAGTCTTTTTACATTTATTTCTACTTTATCTCAATATAATACTAATATTTCTAAAACTCCGTACAAAAAACAAATAGATATATAAATATGAGCCGGAGAGAATATACTCAATCTGCAAGTATATTAATGAATGATATTACAATAGTTTATATTAGTTAGATAATATATAAAAGGGTTTGTTTGATTAGCGTTTTAGTTTAAGGTTTTTTTTTTTTTTTTTTTTTTTTTTTTTTTACGTGAAATATAAAAAATTATGTCAATAATATAAAAAGTAATAATTTATTTTGAAGATTGATTTTTTTTAAGTGAATAAAAATATATTATATTTATATATTGAAAATGGTATGTGTCGAACAAAAAAAGATTTGTTCTGCAAACAAACCTAAAACATCATTGAATTGTAAGAATTCACCTTTAATAAAGAATGTGCGTTGAAATGAGTATTTTGATAATTTTATATGAAATAATATTCTCTCCGTCCCATTGAAAGGTTGCTATTTTTCATTTTTATTCGTTCCAAAACAATGTTACTATTTCCTAATTTAGTAATTGCACTTAACATAATAAATACTCTTTCAACTTACAATATATTACACAAATGCCATTACTTTATATTACACTATACTAATAGGGGTATTTTTGTCTTTTTTACTACAATCCAATATAACACTAATATTCAAAAATCTACTTGCAAAAAGCAAACGCCACCCTTCCAACGGGACGGACGAGGGAGTAAGATATTTCATTAATATTATGGAGTCCATACTTATTAAATAATATATATTATTTATAAATTCTCTAAATAATAAAATGTATCTATTATTAGCTAATAAAAGTGATAATTTTTCCGTCTCATATCTATATTATCTCAAAAAAAAAAATGGTGGTAAATTGTGACAAAAGTCTTGAGTTAGGAAAATTGCAAAAAATATCTACCTCATTATCACTTTTGTCCTTTATTTATCTCTCTGGCAAAATATATCCCACATGTGTTGAAAAGTCGTTATTTCTATCATTTGACCGCGCGTGATTACGCGTAAGGGTGCGTGGTGTGAATTTCACGCGCGAGAAAAGGACATAAATAACGACTTTTGTAAACATGTGGTGTATATTTTTCCAGAGAGATAAATACAGGACAAAAGTGATACTAGAGTATAAGTGTGGGATATTTTTTGCAATTTACTCGTCTTGAGTTTAGTGAGGTTAAAATATATATTGTTGTATGAAATTTTAGTAAATAGAACTAAAAGTGTGAGTAAATTAGTAATTGAGTGCGAACTATATAAACTATAAATAGAAATTGACTATTTCGGTGAAACAACTTTAAATAGTAAGTAATACAATATAGATGGAATGAAAAGAATATACTTTTATTCTCACATTATTTAGAAATGACAAGTATTACATAAATTGATGTTAAGATATTTTAGATATTTAGATTTAATTTTATTTATAAATTAGATTATTTTGATTTAATTCTATCGAGCTTGTATTGATTGTCAACATGTATATTATGTCTATTTATAAGTGTCTATCTTTGTTATGAATAATAATTCAGTTTTCATAATTTATTTTCACAATTGATATACTTCCTACGTCCCATAACAAAGTATTCATTTTTTCATTTTAGTCCGTCCCGTAACAAAGTATGGGATTTTCTTTTTTAGTAATTGTACTATCTACCTAACATTACAAATACCCTTACAACTTACAATATATTACACACATGTCATTACATTTCTATCATACATACTAATAATAAGGTTATTTTAGCAATTTCTACTTTATTTCTATTATATCTCAATATAATACTAATATTTCTAAAACTACGTGAAAAACAAATAAATATTTACTTATGAGACGGAGGGAGTATATATTTATTAGTACGTAGATGAGTACAAAGTTGGTGTTTGGTTTGAGTTTTATTATCCACAACACAAACATTTACGTATATTTTTTTTTAATAAAAAATATATTATTATTTTTTAATAAATCATATTAAATCATTTTTACACAAATTCAAACCAAACAAACCCTACAAGTTCAACACATTAAAGATAATTAATGAAAGGACAACATAAGAGCCTTGTTTAATTGTTTTTGTTTTTGTTTTCTTCCTAACATTATTTCGCCATTTTTTTTTTAAAAAAAATATTACATTAATATTTATTATAAAAAAAAATTCATTCAAATCACATCAAGAATATATTTCAATTCATTTTTTTTTTAATTTTTTTTACTATTATCAAAATATCAAAACCTCTCAACAAGCATCTAAATAATCCCAAAAATAATTGTTGTTATTATTATTATTCAGTTTTTGGTTTATTTATTTATTTATTTAAAAATAAAATCATGATTGAATGTAATATCCTACATGTCCATTTAAAAAATATTTATTTTATTATTTTTATTTGTCTAAATACAAAGTAGTTATTTTATTTATTTATTTAGTTTTTAATTTTATAAATTTTTATATTAATATGGTTATATAAATTAAAACGTAATTAAAAAGTAAAATTATTTTACACACAAAAATTCCTATCAACTAGAGGTAAACATAATTTACAAATAACTTTTACATACAAAAAATACTATCAACCAGAGGTAAAACATATAGCTCCCCCGTCATTTAAATTTATGTATATAGCTCCCTCCGTCATTTAAATTTATGTTCACTTTCCTTTTTGGGTTGTCATCGAAAAATATTATCATTTCATGTTTAAGTAAAAAATTATTTCACTTTTGTACTATTTTTACTATAAAATAAAAAATTAACAATTATTATTCACTTTTATTAAAATTCGTACCCAGTTAAATAAACACACATTTACATGACGGAGGAGGTATTTACAATGGACATAATAAGTATTTTAAATACAAATTAAATATAATAAAATTTTAAAAGAGTTAAGATATTAAATAATAAAATAAATAAATAAATAAATAATAAAAACGAGTAACAATACCTTAGTCTTACTTTTGATGTGGACCATTGCCAAAAGACATGTCACTTCTATAATATGCCCTATCAATCTCCACTTCCAAATTGTGGTCCATACTTTTATATATATATATATATATATATTGATTTCAATTTTTTTTTATCATATAATTATTATATAATTCTTTATATATATATTAATGCCTTTTATAATATTATATTTAAACTAAAAATTAAGATCAAATTCGAAAAGAACATACATAAAAGAATAAAAATAAAAAATAGTAATAATAATTGTGTATGTGTTTATATATTATTTACTATATAACTTATAGTAATATATCTACATATTCAATTTTTATTTTAAATACTTTATGTAAATTCTAAATTGTATTAATGATATTATTTTAAAACTCATTCTCTATTAAAAAAAAAAAAAAAAAAGTCAAATTCAAAATATTCATACACTTTCAAGAGACAAATAAACATCATAACAATATAACTTAATATAATTATACTAGCATGACTATTCATGGATTTGTTCACTTTTTATTTTTTATTTTTTGATGATACAATCTTTCATAAATATTATAAAAAATACAAATATAATAAATATATATATTTTATCTACTTAATAAAAATTTAATAATTCAATACAAAATATATATATATTTTTTTTTATATTACCAACATAATTTTCTATGTTTAACATTTAAAAAATCACATTAATCTAATATCTATCTATTTGTTGATATTTTATTGGATAAACATAAGTCTCAGTTTATACAGATGTTTATGATTTTTTTAAAGAAAATAATTAATTGATAGAGATTTTTTAAAAAAATCAATTACTCTTGATGAATGTATATATATATATCGTATACAAAATTCCAAAAATAACACACAAAGATATATATATATATATATATACAACCTTTTAATATTTTATTAAAGTATAAATAAAATAATTTATATGTGGAGTATATTACATAATTCATCACTATACTGGTAAATATGATATATTTTATTCGTCTCAAAATTATTGTGTTATTTGGGTTTAACGATTTAAAGAATATTGATAATTGGTAAAAAATACGAGTAAAAAATATTTTTGCCATTGTGAGTGTATTAATGTAAAAAATAGTGACATTTTACAATGTGTAGACTCCGTGAATTTTTTAAATCCATAAAAATCTATAGAATTTTTAAAATACAATAAAATCTCCAATGAATACACCATCTTATAAAGTAATGTAGCCATTAATATATGGATGTTACTTAATATATACTTTATTTGTCCCTTAACAATTTATGTGTTTTCTATTTTGGTTTGTCTCATAAAAAAATATTTATTTTTTTTTATAGTAATTGTGCTGTCTACTTAACATTACAAATACTCTTTTAATTTAAAATATAATATACAAATGTCATTATTTTTATATCATACAATACTAATAAGGCTAGTTTAGTCATTTTTATCTTATTTCTATTATATTCTAATATAATACTAATATTCCTAAAACTCCGTTCAAAAAGTAATTAGATAGGTAGATATGAGACGGAAGGAGTATTATATAGTACTAATATATTATATTCCCCAAGTCCCATAACAAGGTATTTATTTACCTTTTACGTCATTGTACTTAATGTTAAAAATATCTTTATATTTGTATAATTTTTTATACAAATGTCAATATATTAGTATTATAAGACATTAATAGAAATATTTTTGTAATTTTTCCTTGATTTGTAATACGTTTTAATATAATAATTAATATTCAAAGATCAACACGCAAAAAGTAAATGGATACTTAGTTATGAGACGGAGATAGTATATGTATTTTATTATGTCCTTGTGTGTTTGTTTTGTATTTTGGTTTGAATTTTTTTCGAATGTAAGATATAAAGAGCTGTGTAGATAATATAAAAATAATGAATACGTGTGATATACACTTTTTTTTTTTTTTTTTTTTTGGAAAAATGAGTAAAAAATATCTTACTGAAGAATTTGAAAATTTTGTATTTTGACTCAATTTTGATAGTCATATTTCTAACCCTTTGATTTGATTGCTTTAACAGTATTAAAGTTACATCTGAAATGAATGAATGATGAATGTGGTTGTTATTATTTATTGGGTCAATTTGTTTGTTTGTTTGTTTGTTTTGTGTAAAATTGTCACTCCTTACACATATCCATCCATCTTACGTGTCGACCAAACAATTATCCATCCTTTGCTTGGAATAAAAATCGTGGACTCTCTCTTGGTTGGATATGATTTTTTTTTTTTTTTTTTAAAAAGGGATAAAAATAATAATATGTTATAGTAAAAAATATACAAAACTAAGTAATTTAGTATAAAAAAATAAAAATAAAAATATACACTTTTTTTTGATAAAACTCCTCTCCCCCCTCCAAAAAAAATTACAACAATTTGAACGACAAAAAGAGTAAAGAACAAGATTACTGCAATCACACAAGAATGGAAGACAAATTTGAAAATAAAATAAAAATGAAAAGAAAAAACGTACACCATCCGTCCCATTTTCACATCCATCTTTCTATTTCGGTCATGTCCTACTTATTTTGTCATTTTTTTAAAAAAAAATTATACACTTTAATCTTATTTTAATTAATTTTAATTATACTAATAAATTATGTTAATCTATAATTATTTTTATTATGTCGTAATTATTTTTACTAATATATTTTTAATTATTTATTAATTATACCTCTCTTAAATTGTCGTTTCTACGATAAAATGGACAAAATATAGAGACTAGATTCTCTTGTCTACGGTGAAAAGGACAAAATATTGTGACAGAGGAAACATTATAATAGCGTCCAATTAATCCCTGAGATGAGAACGACAGGACAGGACAGGACACAAAACGACAGCGTATTGAACTGGACAAGTCTTAGAAATAAGCCTCTATCAAATTAAAAATATCTGTTAGAGGAAGTAGATGCACACAATCCACAGCCACACCTGTAATAAATTTAATTTAAATGTGTTTTTACATCCTAGGTTTCACTTTTTGTACCCTTTCTTCGACGACCCTTCTCTTGTCTCCTACCAATTCAATTAAAGTCCACTTTACATCAAGAATGTCAGTTCAGGTGGTGGGGTGGGTGGGAAACCCTTCAAAAATACCCACTCAAATTCTACATAATAAATTACCACACCAAATCATCCCGATTTCAATTTCTAAAATGATTCCTGAATAATCAAAATAATAATAAAAAGAAAATATTGGAGATATAGATGATACTACAAAATTTTTAAAGTTCAAATAACAAACAACACAGGTCATAAATTAAATAACAGAAGTGAGTTAAAACATATTATTCCATAACATATATATAGATATATAGATATAGATATATAGAAAGCTATTCACCTTCAGAAACAGTATTGTAACATTTTGGCTAAATGTAAGTTCAGGGATCATCCAATCCATCCTTTGTGAAGAAAAAATATAAACGAAAATAAAATCCTCATGATGCAATCAATTTCTTCAAGCTTCAAAAGTTCAAGAAAACTCACAATAAGGGGCTTCAACTCCCGACTCGATGTCCGAAATTCCCAGCCGCCACGTTGCTCGACCTTTTTTGTTTCTTCCATGATGTTTTTTTATTCGAATCCAATGTATAGGGCAGATCACATGATTGCATCAAACGGCATGTGGGGATGCACAACTCAAGATTATTTACAAGCAACCTACACATGATCGACCAAGCACAGTACAACACTCCTGCCCGGGACAAAAGGAACAGCATGTGCTCAAAGACAGTTCTTTTAATAGTAATAGGAATTAAATCGAATAATTAAGCGTAAAAGAAAGAAAGCAGTTTCACCTTACAAAATATTCTATCATCTGTTCTGCACAATTCTGTAGTTAAGGATAAGATCTTCAGGTTTTTTCCATATGTAAGCCCGGACCGTGGCTAAGCTCATGTCGGGAGATAATACCTGGAGAACCACAAATGAATGTAAAAGAAATACAAACAGCTGTAAATAATTTTCAATTACCGACACATTTCAATGTAGAGGGTAAAAGTGTAAAAGGAAAACCAGCATGTCTCAAAAACAAGGAGTAGGGTAGGGTAGTCATGAGAACATCCAAGAAAATTGAGCATTTACAGCTAAGAAACAAAAATAATAATAATACCTCCATTCACCGCCAATCTACCCATTTGTATTTGAAGTCATTGTTTTTAACATTAAAAATATCTTTTATATTTGTATAATTTTTTTGTACAAAATATCGTAACATTAGTATTAAGACACTAATAGAAGTATTTTTGTTATTTTCCCTTGATTGGTATTACGTTTTGATATAATAATTAATATTTAAAGAACATGCAAAAATAAATACGTAGATTAACAGTGGACTGAGGTAGTATAATAATAAAGGAAATCATCTTGTCTTCTCTGTTCATCAAATGGAACATCTAATTAAAGACAAAAAAATCAATAAATAATGTGAACTTGCCTGGTTATTGCAAAGGATCTCGATATTAGGCTTGAGTTTTTGACCGGATTTCATCCCAGGGCGTAGTGAACCATCTCCAATAAGAGGATGTGAAAGCTGACCTCCAGGAGCAAAAGTATCAACACTCAAACTATCCAATGGCTTCTCAAGAACCATTTTCTCTATGATATAATTGATGACCTATAACAAGGAATTAGAACAATCATAAATTTGAGGGCTGCAGCAACAGTATCTTCTAGATAGAATAATGCTTATTCAGGAGATTCATTTCGAGGAGAGCAACAATTCTTTCTGCAACTGTTACGGACATTTAGGTCTGAAAGTTGATTTCCCTTTAGTACTTTAGGAAATATAGAGCGGGTACTGCTACTTCTTAGATGTGCAAGAACTTTTAAAAACATGTTTTCATAGATCGCAATCGCAACTTAGTAAAACAAAGTTGAAGATTGAGTATGGATTAAGCTCATCATGTGTTGCTTGTCCTTTTCAAATGATGCCCCGAATAACCAGCTCCACATGAGTGCTATTTCTTAAAAACAAGCATTAAGCTACCAGAAGAATAAATTCTTACTTTATGTATTCTCAGAATGCGAGGAGCACTGAGTTTTCCTTGTGTAATAATTTGCACAGTAGCACCATCACATGGATGCAAATAGAAGCTACATCTGCAGTAAATAATATTCAAATGAAATCACTCTCATAAAAATTAAATAACCAGAGGAGAAGGGATAGAATGTGAAACAAAGCAAACATGAAATTATTATGTATAAAAAGGCAAGACCAGTTGACAGATAACATATTTCGTGAAAGTTGTGCTCATTTTCACTTGGATTCAGCTATATTCGGAAAAATCAATACGAAGTTGATCAACAAAGTCCATTCAGCTTAATGAATTCCCCCACTATTTTTATGTTTTATTTTAACAAATTTAAAATTTGTTGGGGGAGTAGAATAATATGAAATTACTAAAGCAAAAACAACAAAAATAAAGGTTGCCATGGAATTTACTTGGTGTTTTCTCTTGGAGGCATGCGATTATTCAGCACACAATCAAGAACCCACCAAGGGAAGTCCTTCTCATCTTCAGAACCATCTAATTCAGTGGTTTTCTTTCGCCAAGGGCACCCATGAGAGCCCTCAGTAACAATGGAAGGAGGGCAAGAGACAGAAAAATTAAAGGGCGGGTATACCATCGAGTCATTTTCCACATAACCATCTCCTTCTACTCGAGACAGAGTCAAAGTCCGGGAAGATATTTCTTTTCCTGATGGAATTTCTCCATTATTTGATGTTTGAGATCCGCTTTTTTGCCTTCTTTTAACTAACCAATGTGCCAATAGTCCTTTCAGGGTTTCCCTTGCCAAATTAACCTACATCATTATGCAAATTATATTTCATTTGCAATGAAACAAACAAATAGACAATAAAAATGAAGGCTTAAGGGGGAAAAGAGATTCTTCCATTCAAATCAATTTACCAAGTTAAATCAAAATACAAAAGAAAACATGATCGTCGAACTAATACAGGCGCAACAGAACCAACACTTCACTCAACCAGAGCATATAGACTACAGAAACTTTGGTTTTCAATGTGAAAAAATAAGCAAAATATTATTTCTTGAATAAAAACTGGGTACACTCATGTAAGCATACATATATTCAATACTAGGCACCAGAAATTGAGCTTCAATGACTCACAAAGATCATCGGAGATAATTACAATAGTAAATACCTTGTCATCCTCAGGTTTCCCATGAATGTCAAGGTCCGCTGAGTACATCTCAGCAGAAAAGCATTGAGGTGTGTCTAAGTGGACTGACAAGCTCCCAAGCCTTGTATCAACCGAGAACCATGCAGGAATACTTACCTGGAGAGACAAAATAAGTTGTATGATGCAGATAAAAACATGACATGATAGCTGAGATAGTGATGTGTACCATCTCAAACAATTCTTCTTTCTTCTTCTCAAATGAAACCTGTAACCAAAAAGAACAAGGGTAACAGATGATGGAGATGACTAAAAGTTTTGTAGCAATGCAACAAATGGTTGTTATCATCAAACAACCCTGTCCTACCCACCAAAGAAGACACAACATATATGAATCAAATCAAATCAAAATGAATCACTAACCTCTCCATAGTTTGTAATAACCATGCCTTTTGTAATTTCCCATAGCTTCACTGTACCCGAAGTGTCCTTGAAAACATGTGATGGAACTCAATTTAATGCATAAAATTTACGAGGTAGGCATCAGATAAAGGAAAATATAAGATTCTCAAAGGAATACCAGAAAGTAATGCCGTTTTACCTTAGTCAACACATGTCTTCTATTATTTAAAATTTCATATTGCATTATAGCTGGAGCTCCATCAATGCTACAAGACGGTGCTTTATAGACAGGAACCTGCAGGAAATAACATTCATCTTTTACAATGAAAAACAAAAATTATCCCAGTAACTAATTGAACATATTATTATAATTTTGTAGTTAAATTTTAGTTATCTTCATACTCAGCACTTAATCCAAATATAATTTCATAAATTTCCTAAGAGAGTGGCATAAGCATCCATTAATGAAGATAGTGCAACTTCTAAGTTAAGATATTATAACAAAACGAAGGATAATGCATCATAAAAAGGAATACATTGCCCGCATGCAGATCTTTGGCCATTAGAACTTACTCAAAGAAAAACAATGTCAGAAAAAAAAAATAAAGCATTGCAGAATAATGTGAAAGTGATTGCCTGCTTTCTGCAATCAGATGGAACTAGGCACTGTTGTGCCAGATATTTAGTAAGATTAGAAAATAGAAGTTACATCAACCAACTATAGCTTAAATTAAATAAAAATAAACATTATGGGTGATCGAACAAAACTGTGTTTCAGATAAATTAAAGTTAAAAAAAACACGGTGCAAAAAAGCAATGAGAATTGGAATATTCAACTCACGGGCATAGAACCTTCTAGCGAAACCCTTGCCCTTGAAAATGACAAATTGCCAGCTAAAAACGAACCCCCTCTTTCAAATAATTTCATTGGATTATGTGCTTCTGCTGGCCATCTGTGTACCGTAGAATCTGTTGTGGCAACCCATACACCATCATCATGTAAAGCCAATTGCAGTATAGGCTGTTCTTCGGTACATACTAATACACTTTCTCTTGTTGCCAAATCTGTCAAATACAACTAAAAGCACAAAAACAAGAGTGAGCTTCCAGATGAAATAAAACAGCAAAATGGAGCGGCTGCATATATTTCATTTCAATTTTGATGTAGAGATGCACTCACAGAACGATCTCTTCCACCACTATAAACATGACTAAATGTAGGAGTGCTGGCAAGTGCCCAGACAGAGTCAGTGTGCACAGCATAGGAATGAATGCATCGCTGCTGAGCAAGATCCCACAACCTATAAGTTTTGTAAAAAAAAAGAAAACTGTTACCAATATGATAGTAACTATTTACCTTTCTTCTTTTAATGATAATGACATATCTGCTAGAAATATTATGACACTTGTGTACCACTAAAATATTTCACCAGGACAGCGCATACAGTGACCCTCAGCTCAAATCTTGCATGTTTATTTATTTAATAATATTATTATTATTATTAGTATTTACAAAAGCTAACCATAAATATATTACCAAACAATAAATTCAGATGTCTTAAAAACAAAAGGGGACCTGGTTTGGCAAATTCAGTCTGACTTAAGATTCTGCGGTTCATACTTTGCAAGATATTATTAAAATACTTCACCAATTAAATTTTACATTCAAAACATCACATCAAACAATTATTTCAATTCAAAATTTTACTATTCAAAATCAAAACCTAAAACCAAAATCCCACAAATAAACACACCCCAAGTTGACAATGACAATTAGCACAACAAGTATTGCAGATTATAAATACACAGTTAAAAATCATGTTGAGGCAACTCATGGCCCATAGCACATCCAGGGGCATAAAATTATAAGTAATAAGTGCATACCTTATCATAGAATCAGAGGACCCAGATAGACAATATCTGCAAAGCAGAAGAAGAAAACATTGTTTATTTACATCATGGAATACAGAAAAAAAAAAAAAAAAAAAAAGGATAAGGATATCAAAGAAAATTTCCCTAAAAGGATTTAGGAGGAAAAACATAACCCAAAGACAGAACATCACTAAAAAAAAAAGGTAAAGGCATCTCATATTAGTTTCCATGAGACACACAACTCACAAACTAATGGAATACATATAAATTGAGTGCAGAAATAATCACTGGGAGAAATTGGATGCATAAAGACAGTTCATCACATGAAAAATACCCAGTTCCATTTTCATACAAGTCAGGGAAATCATAAAATTAAGTTGACAATTGACAAATCAAAAATTCATCGTTCCAAGATTTTCTAGTTAAATATGCTGTATTGCAACCATTACCAGATTAAATAAGCATCCAAAAAATTGAACATATCATCTTGATACAATAAGCACTAACTTAACTTGAAAACTTCTCGATCAAATGACTACTTCATAAAGTTAATAGAGTCCAACAAAGATATGCTTAATAGAAACAGTCAAACAAACCTTCCGGTAGAATCCAAAAGTAGTGCTCTAATATTATCTGTGTGCCCTCTAAGCTTCATTGTTTTCGAGCCAGTTCTTGGATCCCAAACACGGACAACCTACCAATATTTATATTTATATATGTAACAACCAAGATGGGTTACAGAAAAAAGGAGGAAGAGGAAAGAGAAAAACGAGAGAGAACAAATACAAACTTTCTCAGTTCCACCAGAAACAAGGAGTGTTCCGCGATCATTTGTGGCTAGTGCATAAACCGACTCTTTATGGCCTTTAGCTGAAACAGGAACATAGCCTTGACCTTGAGTAGCATGTACAGAAATGTTATTGCTTGAGCTAATAGGCCGAAGACCTGTACTTGGCAAAGGTCCCAAGCCATTAGTACTAGTTGAGCAATCATCTGCATTTGTATCATTGGACTTGGAAACAGGAGTAAGGGCAGCTTCAAGATCCCATATGAAAACTTCACCGCCAAGTCCGCCAGAGGCAATGACATTGCTCTGCAGTGAGCCAATAGAGAAGATTTATAATGGGTGTACACAAACTTCAATGACAATTACATTTACATATCAACCATAAGCTAGTCTACAAATATGGAATTTTTTATAAATGATGATGTGCATGGCCGGATAAAGTGGGCAAAAGCAATTGAATGATATAATTAAATTATAACATATCATTAGTAATTATCAACAAAATAGAATAACTAAATAAAGATGTGTGCTAACTAGAAATTTAAGCCGCTGCAGTTCTACAATTTTGCATGAGCTTTACTACTACCCAGTTGTCTCAACATATATTAAACATCTAATGCAAATGTTAAAAACAAGATATTATAAAATAATGTATATGCAATATACTTCAATCAGCTCTTCAAGGGAATTAGTAAACAAGCAATTTCAAGAGAGAAAAAAGATAATAGTATACTAGAACATAAACGGAGAGAAAAGGATTATAAGAACTAAGAGATTGAAAATTGACAATAAGAAGAGGAAGGATAGAAGAAACAAGTAAATTTTTGGAGTGCTTAAAATACTATGTGCAAGACGGAAAGAAATATAGCACGCTCATTTTTCTTTACATGTAGAAAATTACAAGATAGTGTCATTTTATATGATGCAAGTTGACGGTGCTAAGCCTCTGCTTTAAGAGCCTTCGGCTAGTGAGAACCATTGTAAGCAATAGTAGCGCTACTTAATATAACTTTTAGGGTGTGTTTGTTTGGGGGATTGGATTGGATTTACACTATTCATCCAATTTTTTCCCCCAAAAAACATCAAATCAAACACCTATTTTTTATTTTTTATATTATACTAAAAATCAATTTTACATTCAAAACATCACATCAACACCTATTTATATCACATCATACAACTATTCAAATTCAAAATTTTTACTATTCAAATCCCAACTCAAAATCCAAACTCCCAAACAAACACACCCTTGGTAAACTAGAATACTACTAGGTACTAAGGAAGTAGTATTACATTTTTCTCCGCTGCAGCAAGGCAAGTTACATAATCTGCGTGTTGGCGAAATGTCTTGACACATGTTCCATCAGACAAGCAATTCCATACCTATTTACAACACCAATTACAAGAAAAGTTCAAATCATGAGCATAGTGGATTAAATGGCATCATATTAAGTGTAGTAACATGAACCTTAACACTTGAATCTGAGGAGCAAGAAACCAATCTGTTACCACCTGTAAGCACAACATCATTAACCTGCAAAGTAGCAAATTTCATCAAAAATGACAACAAGTGCATGAGATAGAAAGACTGACTAGAAAGTCACTACTACATAATAGAATAGACAGTTTCAAGCAAGCACAAAATCCAGATGCACCATATTCTTATAAGCAACCCTTTGCTGAAAAACACCTCAATTCTAGTACGCAATAATCTGAAAATTATATCAGTAATCCATTAGACAAGGTTGAACCAACTCCATTGTGCCATGCATCAACAATTTAAATCAAGTGGCACGTAAAATTGTAATGCATATATATCAACACACTATAACCACTGCAAGATACAAAAAATAGACTTCATGCAAAAAATGGGAGTAACATATACCCAATCAACATGGGACTCAAATGTAGCGGAGAAAGTGGCACGATCACCAGATGAAGTCCATCTCTTTAATGTGCCATCACGGCTACCAGTGAAGAGATAATCACATCCCTCTTGTCCAGATGACTTCAATACAGCCAAGCAGTTTACACCCGCACAGTGCTGCAAAATTAAATGATAGAAAATCCATGAAATTCATTCTATTCTGTAATATATGCATATCATGTAAGTTATTGAAAGAGGTTCATTTAGCATTGTAAACACTACAGCCCAAATTTACTGTTCTTTATTGCAATAATAAAGGCAATTTGTGTTGGCTGCCTTATGCAAAGTTAACGTCAGCCCTCTAGAAAGATTATATAAAAGAGAGCCACCTTTTCATCACAAACTTAATTGTGGGCATGACTGAAAACAGTAGTAGATGATTCAGAATCAATATAGAGAGGAGTGTGGTCAAATTTCATCAGATGCCCCTACTAGTCAAAACCCTCTCCTTACTGAAATTTAATGAATATCTGTAATAAGATTCACAAGCATTATTCAATTGTTTCCTTGGGGGCAAAGCATAACCAAGGAATGGTTAATAAGTGTGATCTCCAAGGCAGTGCAACATACACAAGTTTACAAGTTCATTATCTTTCACTAGATTTTAGAAATAATAAGTATTCAAACCATAACAGTATTTCATTGGATCCAATTCAGATTCATAAACTACTGCGGCTATCATCACAAAACAATAAGAAGGAAGTTTACTCACCAGTTGTGCCCAATATATCGTTAAAACAAGAAACACAAAATCAAGGAAGTTCACTTATGGGTGTGCCATGTGCATGATGATCAAACTCTAACAAATGAAATCAGCACACACCTTCTCCAACTCCTTATTAACGAACATGAATTACAGGGTATTAACATTTGAATTAGCACCTTTGAATTATCTGCATCATTTAATACATATGTCAGCCTCTTTTCCTTGCGAGTGCGAACTGAATTAGATGCATTTCCTGCACTTCCAACACGATGCATTGCAAGAATCCCTGCATATAGTAGAGCTAACTATAAACACAACAAAATCTGATCTCTTCCCTAAAAAATGTGCTCAATATTGATTTATTTGTTCAACTAAAGAGAACGACAACATCAAAGCAAGACTACAGCTAATATGTATTTATCTATACTGCAAGCTTTTGACTCAATGTTGATTGGCATAATACTTCTCTCGGACAATAAAAGCATAAACCCTGAATGCTATTGTTTTCTTTCTTTTCATCACTTCATCTTTATTACATCAGATGAATATGCAATGTCCTAGGATATTCATTGAAAGTAGATGACACAGCTGAAATGGATTCTCAGACATCAACTCGGCATGCAAAATTGCTGAAGATGTACAGTTTTCCACTGGAAATTCTTGATGTTAGAATAATTATGAGGACCAAATTTAAGGTCAATGGTCTAAACAATATGTCAAGCTTCTTGTTGAAGGAATGGTTACAATATTAACGAGGAAGGAAATCGGAAATGACACTTCTAATAATGCAACCATGAACAAATATATTCATCAATAACTGTTCCTGATGTTACTAACTGTTCACAGAAGGGCTAACAACAATTGCAAGATACGATTTCTTACATTAATTATATAAACAGTGCAATCTCTGAGCTCTGTTCTTTAAGTAACCTTTTCTGTTTCGTTATCATACAATTCCCATGCTCCCCAAGAAAAAGGCAATGTTCCCTCACAACATATCACATAAACCCCTATGCAAATAAAAAACACGAACACAAACCAAACGCAATCTAAAAGTCTACATATTAACATAATGTTGCTATTAAACAGAAGATATCTAACTAAGATAAATTGATTTATAATGAAAACTATCTCCTACTTAATGCTTACTTTGCCCTTGTCACTTCTACAACTTGCACTTACGCAACGCAGAAGGTCTTTTCTTTTTGCCTACCAATGCACAGCCAAAAAACTCCATACAATAGATCCATAACTAAATTATCAAAGTGCAAAATTCAATTAACACATATCAGTGCTATTAACAAGAGTTCCTTAGTTCCCAGAGAATATGCATCTTCTAAAATAAGAAAACCCCATAATTTTGAGATAAAATTTGTAATTTCCGGAGTGGGGATGAAACTGATCCAGAAATGGGAATGAATCAATACTGAAGATGTTAACAAACCATGCCATTTAAGAAAATTCGAGAGTGCTGATAAGGTTAATACAAAACGAAATATAAACAAAAACAGAGTAAATTACCCGAAGAGAGTCACTGAATCACAAACCAAACGCACTTGCACTAAAAAGTAAGCGAAACAAAAACCTCGAATCTGGAAACTAAATTGCAATACTTCCAAGTCAAACCAGTCAAAACTCATAACTGGATAGACATCATCCTCTTTCCGCACACAAATCACAGAATTTGCCCAAAAAAAAATCACTACCAACACAGCACACACGTACACAGAATGATCTTAATCGGAAGCGTAAGCTAGCACAGCACAAAGCTAAAGAAAGGTAAACTTAAAGAAAAATATAACTCAATAATAAAAGGATTGCCTTCTCCGATGGCGTCAACGATGCAATTCCCTACTAGTTGAGAAGTCCGCCGAGCCGATTTGACAGCAGCAAACCGGATTTATCGGAAACAGAGCTAGGGCAGGTGGAGCTGACAATAAGAAGTGCAGAGACTCCAATCGATAGCTTTGCAGCGGCGGAGCTTGCGGCCGGCGGCGGCGGAGGCTACGACAGCGAGGAGCGGAGAAAAGGGCGAAGGAAGAAGGTTCGTGTCGCTTCCCGAAGTGAAAGCCTATATTTTCGTGAAAGGGTAATAAGACCAAAACCAAACCCCATTCTACAGTCAAACCGATTTCATTGTTATTCAGGATTACTTAATTTTATTTTTACTATTGTAGTAGTCTTCGGAATTTCTTCTAATTATAATACTCCCTCCCTCCGTCCCATGAATTATGGGCCTATTACTGTAAATACGAGAATTTAGGTAAAGTATGATTAGTAAGTAATTAATAAGTATATTAGTAAAAATAATTATCTGTATAATAAAAATAATTGTAGATTCAGATTAAGATAACTAAATAGTTTAATTAAAATTAAAAAATTATAAAATTTAAAATTTAAAATAAGATTAAAGTGTATAATTATATTTCCAAAAAATGAATGGACAAATTATGTGGGACGGACGAAAATAAAAAATAAGGACAAAGTATGTAGGACGGAGGGAGTAGTATATTGTCTTAAATTAAATAAATGATTTTTCTATTGTGGATGTATTAGTATAAAAAATAATCAGTATTATATAATAATAACGAAAGAATATGAATATATAAGTATTTATGAAAATAAAATTATTATTTGAAAATGGTAAAACTTTGGATCATTATAATTATAATTATTGAATATGTGTGTTTCCTAGTGAATTGCATTAAAAATTATATTCTTTTTTATTCTGTCTAAACTCTAATTAATACTCCATTTGATTTGTTTGTAAAAAATAATACGGTATGAAATTAAATTTTGATAAATATTATAACTATACACCAACAAAATATTTTTATATAAAGTATTATTTTAATAGTTTTTCTCCATAGAAAACAATTATAACTAAATATTTCTTTACCTCAAATTTCTCAAATTTTACTATTTGAATTCTGTATCTGTTGAAAAAAAAAAATACACTTTTTTCTCTCATAAAATATCTCATCAAATATTATTTTAATACAAAACTCAAACCAAAATTTTACCAAACTTATCAAAAAAAACATATATACATATATATTTTATATTGTCTTTATTTAAATAGTATAATTTTATTTTTAGTTTATGTAGTATTCATTAATTACTCATTTATTTTTATTTTTATTTATCAAAGTATAATCACAATTTCACTATTTTTTAGATAATTTACAGGGGAGAAATTATTATATACAGAAAAATAATAAGTATGTTTTGTTTTTATTTTTAATAAAGAAAATACTCTTCTCAATCAATATATATTGATTTTATTAGAAAAATATTAAATTAAAATATTATTTAAATCAAATTCAATTTTAAATCAATACGGATCACTCCATCATCTTTATTCTCAACAGAAGCATCCCTAGTCAATTTCTTATGTAATCCAATGAGTGTTGGAATAACCTTAGCAACATCCATGTCAAATTTCTTCATAATATTGTGAAATGTATACTAACATGACATTCTATTTTTTATTGCATGTTCTTTTGCATTTATTCCCTTCTAAGTTTGATCTTTTTTTTAAAAAAAAAAAAAAACTTTAGAGGGCCAAATAATTTCCCCTCCATGTATTAAATTATACTATATTATTCATTGAAATTTGTTCTTATTCCTTTTATAATTTACAAAAGAGAATGCGAATAGATTTTGATAATGGAGGTAGTAAGCAATACATCGTATTCATCAGCAATGTGCTACATCAAGCCACCGTAAATACAGTATTTTGTTATATGGCCTCCTTGTGGACTACATTCTACTTCAGATTAGTTTGCTTCGAATTTGAAGTAAGTTTTTTCTTCCGCGATTCCTGATGGATTGTCCAACATTCTCCCTTTTATGAGAATGGTAGTTTTTCTAAATTGATTGGTTGATGATCAATTCCGTACTCATCTCCAGATGATTTTTCAAAAAAAAAAAAATTTTCTCAAATTTTTTATTTCTTTCTTTTTATATGTCTACAACTTGAAAATTTCAACTTGCAAACCTTCAAATTTTATGGTTGAAGTATCTATTTGTTGATGCAATTAGGCTAAATTGCAAAAACAAAAACTTAACACAAACAAACCTTTTTGTTTCAAATGGTGGTATGTCCGTACACATTCCCCACACATTTTCTTTAAAACATCATTTTTTTTTTGTTTTTATTTTTTTTTCAAAATTTCATAGTTAGCAATTGAACAATTATACATACATATATATATATAAAAGCAAACAAACAAAAATCTCTTTCATTTGAAATTTACTTCTAAACAAATAATAGAAATCGCAATTTCATTTTGTAAAAATTCAAAATGTATACGCAGCTTACCAAAAAAGAGAGTGGTAAATTAAAAGAGACTACAAATGTTTCTAATTCACCAATTCACAACAACAAATAACTTAAGATAAATAAAAAAATGGATCAAGACTTCACAAATTTACAATAATAATTAGAATCCTAGAAAAGATTACAAAGTCCACTTCCCACCCGTCTCAATTTACAAAAATCAGATTTCTCCAAACGCTCATTTCTAATCAACAACTTCAAATTAGAATTTGAAAATAAAATAATAATTTAAAAAAACAGAGAGTGCAAATCGATCAACAAGAATGTCAATTGTGGCATATCTGATTGCGGACGGCGAACTCGTGGTTGCCTTAGATCACTGTTAGGCATAAATTTTGTTGGTAGGACAGTGGATGATTTTGTAAAAGTACCACCGGTGACACTCCCGATGCGGCTCACATGCTCCATATCGAAGTACTATAATTAAAGATTGGAGGAAGGAGCGGAGCTCGGTGGTAAAGGGAGGAGGATGGTGACGGTCGGGTTGCGGTGGGGGAATGTTTGGGTTAGGTTAAGGCGTCAACATTGACAATTTGCGCAATTTGTAATGAATCCAGTAACCACCTATGGTTGAAGTGGTCTCATAAATTGTTGAAAACAACAAAATCAACAGAGATTGGAATTGAAAGAATAAGTCAGCACCAACAACAATGAAATCAAAGATCACATAGTGGTGACAGTATGAAATGAAATTAAAATCGAAGATGGTGTGAATAATCTGAAAATTGAAATGAATTATGAAGTAAAGTGATAGATTATATTCTGCATAAAATATAAAATGTGATACAAGAAAAAATCATAGAATCCATGAAACGAAGTGGTTTGTTTGTATCAATTTTTTTTTTAAAAAAAATATTGGCTTGATTAGTCCAAATTGTAATTATTGTATTTGCGATTTAATTTACTCGGGCCAAATTGAAAAATAAAATAAAAATATTTTTTTACAAGAATAATTTAATTTTAAAATTATATTTCCACATCGTTGAAAAAATATCATTTAACTTCCACCTCAACTTCAACTGCATCCACATCAACACCAAAAATATCATATGGGACGTGACATGCACGCAATTTTTTCCACCACTAAAGAAAAAAATTAAGGCCAATAATCAAAATATTAGCTTAAATTTAAATTCCGAAAATATATCTAACATTAACAATTTGTTGCATTTACAAATTTCTCTTTTGCAAATTAAACTAAAAATTAGCAAAACAAGTATATTTATCTACATAAATATAATAATACATTGATATAAAAATAAATTATTATATACAATTACTCTTAAAAATATATATATATATATAATAATTATAATGAAATTTCAAAATACGCCTAATAGATATAATTTATCTAATATATATATATATATAATAATGAATTTTCAAAACATAGTTAATAGATATAATTTATCTAAAAATATATAACCATTAGACAAGGGCATAACTACGACAGGACAATAAAGGTTCCATAACCCCTATTTTTGTTGGCTTGTCTTCAAAATTTTACTTTTTTTGAACAGTTTTTCTTAATCGTGTATTTAAGCCAATCTATGTATAATTATATATTATGTAAGTACATATAGAGACAGAAATTTAGAGAAGAAATGAAGATAGCAAAAAATTGTCAAATTAAAAACATGTATTTGATATGTGAGTCAATTAATGTATATTCTGTTTATTTGTTTTTTTTGAGTCAATAAATCTAGTTGAATAATTTTTAGTATTTTTAGTTTTTTCTAGTTTATGTTTGATTTATTTCTATTTTTAAAATTATTTAATTTAATTGTTTGCAAAATGGGAAAAAAAAATTTAAGAGAATATAAAATTCAAATTATGAAAAATGTATTTAATTAAGGACAAAAAAGAGACACATTGAATTATGTTCTACCATGAATTGAATGTATTGGATTCTGGTAATTTTGGGAATTTTGTTCGTGTGTGTATGTGTTTTTTTTTTTTCCACAATATATATTTTCAATAGAACATACAATAAAATATCATTTAAAAAAAAGTTAAATGTATATTTTTTGGGATCCCCAATAATATTGAAAATATTTAAATAAGAATGATCGAAAGAAAATAAAATACTTCAAAAGTTGATATATCAACATGTCTAAAGGATTTTATTTTATTTTATTTTCTAATGAAAATTATGAAAAATAATTTGTACAACAAGATAGACAATAACCTTTTTGACAAATTATAATATTGTATTTAGAAGTAATATTTAGATATTTGATTCAAAATTACTTTTCATTATTTTTAAAACATGATAACTCAAATAAATATAAATAATAATTAGATTGGTTCATCATTATATTTAATCTTGATTCTACCATTATCAATAGATATATGTATATAAATATATGCGTTGCTCGGTCTTATTATCATGATATAATATTTAATTACAATTTAACAATTGATATATAATTAATTTTGACCATTTTTCAAAAAAATAATTAACATCATATTTGATTTTAAACTTAGAATCAAACAACAAAATATAGTCCATATTTACTAAATATATAGGCATACATTCAAATGACCGATATAAATTTTAGCAAATTCGATACATACTAAAATATTACAACACACTATAAACAAATATTTTGCAAAAAAATATAAATTATGCTACGAATCATATAATAAATAGTCAAGAGATTATTTAAAAATAAAATAAAAGAATAATGAATAACATATTATTCAATTGTTACCATTGCAATAATGTCATGTTTTCTTGCAAACATCATATTTTGTTTTAACTT